TGTTTTGCCCACTTGCGAATACAGCTATAAGATAAATTCCTAGAGTTGTAAATATAGGATCAACAGATAACCATGTTTTAAAGCTGATAAACATTGCCAAGTTACCCTTAAAAGTGGTAGTGCCAGTTTATGTTCCTATTATCAGAGTATCAGTGTGTCCTACTTCCCACACCCCACCAGTGCTAGTCATTATCAAACATTTTTATATTTGAGTCTGAGATGTAAAAATATGTTCATTTGCTTTAACTGTTAACAATTCTTACATCAACTAAAACTGAACTCGTGTGTGTGTGTGTGTGTGTGTGTGTGTGTGTGTGTGTGTAGTCACTTACTGTTTGTTTTTTTTTAACTGCCTGATTCTGTCCTTTACCTGTTTTTCTATTGGGTTATTACTCGTTAAAGCAAATTAGCCAATTGTTATGCGTTGCAAATATTTTTTCTGGATCGTCATTTGCTTTTTGACCTTGTTCATGGTTCTTTTTGCCATTCTGAAGTCTTGAGTCTTTGTATACTCAAATGTATCAGTCTTTTCTTGTAAGGCTTCTGAATACTAGGAAGACTTTTACTGCAGGAGTGTACATAAAACATTTTCCAGTGTTGTCTTCTAACACTTTGGTGTCATGTTTTAAATGAAATACATGATCCACCAAGAGTTTATTTGACATAAGAAATCTTCCGCTGTTATTCAGTGACTGGAAAAGACACTTTTCCTATGTTCTTATTTATTTAGAGGGCTTACTGAAGTATTTAGGGGTAAAATGTCAAGATGAGCTTCTCTTTGAAACTTCAGTAAAGGAAAAATAGTCGAGAGGCAGATATGGTGGTGCACACCTATAATCCCAGCTACTTGGGAAACTGAGGCTGGAGGATCCCTTGAGCCCAGGAGTTCAAGATTACAGTGAGCTATGATTGCACCACTGCACTCCAGCCTGAGCAACAGAGCAAGACCCCATCTCTGGGATGGGGGTGGGGGAGAAAAAATAGTTGAAACTAAATGGCAGAAAGGTAATATTGTTAAATACAGGTGGTAGATATATGGAGGTTGATCATACTGTTCTCTTTTATGAATATTTACAGTTAAAAAGAGCTTCCCTGGCTGGGCGCGGTGGCTCGTGCCTGTAATCCTAGCTCTCTGGGAGGCCGAGGCGGGTGGGTCATTTGAGCTCAGGAGTTCGAGACCAG